TGTGATGTGGGTGGTCATTTTAAAACCACAGCATTTGAAATAATAATAATAATAAGTTTTGGCACATACACACATGCGTGTGCATGCTCACACACTTTAAATTTCACGTAATATTCACAAAAACACCACCACCACCAAGATATAGCATTTTCAGCTGTGCTAACCAGAACATAGCTTTTTTCCCTGACAATGTGTGTGTGTGTGGGCGCGCGCACGCGTGCATGCATATGCGTGTTTGCATGTGTGTCCACACATATAGCCATTTTTTCTATGCATTGTATGGGTTTCTTGACATTCAAGCACATTAGCAGTTTGATTTTTCAATAATAAAAAACCCAATCACTTTCTACTGAAACCACATTTCTTGCAAAACTTTCCATTTTGGTATAAGATGGCAATTACTTTCTAACCCTAAATCATATCAAACAGAACACATAACCAACAGACGGCAGAGCAGAGATGCATCTTATACATTATCTAAATCAGACATGGGTAAGCTATCATGAGCAAGAGCTCACTTTATCAGAGCTCTTGCTCACAAAAGATCATGCAACTCTTAATTCAGCTAGTCTGTAACAGCAGTGGGCAAAATACAGCCCGCAGGCCAGATCCAGTCCACCAAGGGATTTTGTCCAACCTGTGGCAAGACATGCTTCTGCAACCATCGCTGAACATGTCCCCACTAGCCCATCCACCCTGCACTTATGACTGAGGACAGGACTTGCGCAGGCAGGGATAGGGCCACAGATGGGCAGGAAGCAGTGTCTGGGAGCAGGATGGCCAAGCATGGCCAGGATCCTGGGGTGGAAACACAGAGTGGTGACAGCATTGGGCTGGGAGCTGGGGCAGAGCTGCAATCTGGTACCCACGTCCCTGCAGTAGGCGCCAGTTCCACAGGCAGGAACATGCAGGGAGCAGATTGCAGCTTTTCCCTAGGCCCCATGCTGTACTGTCATTGTCCCAAAAGCCCAGCCTTGGCCCTACCCCCCCCCCCCCCCCCCCAACAAAT